TTTAAACTTTTTTTTAATTTTTTTTTTTTTTTTTTTTTTTTTTTTTTTTTTTTTTTTTTTTTTTTGCTGCTTACAAGCAATAGGTATTTATAATAGTGATTTAGTAAAAGAGCTACAGGTGCTTAGTCAGATCTGGTGTTTATTAAAGCTTCACATAGCTTTAAAATGTGGCTCTGAACATTAGAAGAAAATAGTCAATGTTATTTTATTCATAATGTAAATTGGATCTTTGTTATTAGCCAGAGAACTTCCAAAACATCATCTTACTTAAACATTGAAAAATTGCTGGAGAGAATGAATATATGTGAATACATTCACAGACTGTAAGCTTGTCAGATGCTGCTGCACCAACCCTACAAACCACTAATCAGTGCTCTGTGTTACTCCTGTTGGTGGCTGTGCCAGTCTGCTGACACTTTTTCCAGCTGAGAGTACTTCAGCATCAAATAGCCATAATAACCTCGTTCAGAAGTTATTAGTGTGAGAAAGGAAAGTGTAGAGAATAGTGGTAGAAGAAGAAAATAAAAGTCTATACAATATGGCCAGAAGCATAAGGAAAGTGGTGACAGTTTTTAGAAGAATGTGGTGTGCTTTTTTCAGATATGTAATAAACATCCATTTCACAATGTGCTCTATTTGAGATAACATAAGCACGTTATCTGCACTTCTTCATTGCTCTTTGTCCACAGTTCAAATAAAGGGGTGTGGGGCAAGAAAAGAGCAAGATGAGCAAGAATCGACCTAGAAAGAGAGGACAAAGGAATTCTAAAAGATATGGAATTTAGCTGTAACATGTTTAAAACATGAGAGTTTACTATGTAATAGTTTACTAGTAATTATCATCTTTCCATAGTAGTTTTGTGCGGTTACATCAGTCTTCTCCCATTTGACAAAGTGACTTGCTAGAGATGGGAATTTCTTCCACACTTGGTAACTGTGGATTGATCTTTAGATGAAACTTGGATTTTTTCAAGATGAACACATCTAGAGAAAATATCAACTGAAGATGAGCAGCTTTAGTACATGAAACAATAGGGAAGCACTGATCCTGCAGATAATGAAGATAGGAGCTTCAGAATTAATTCTCAAATTCTAATTCAGCCTGTTCTGTATGGTGTCTGTGTGTCTTTTCAAGTAGCAAAGTGTAGTGGAGGCACAGTGGTGGAGGTTTCTTATAAACAAAATTGGATAGAACAGGTTGAGTTCTTCTGCACAAGAAGATCTCGAAGGTTTCATAATAGAAAAGTGGTAGTGGTGTGGTGACCGAGTCAGGGAAGCTTGTGATCAGAGAGGTGTGGTCTTTAGTAACTTCTGTGTGTCTCCATGTAATTGTGGGCTTTAAATGTCATGTGTCTCATCCTGCTTTGTTCTAGTTTGTGCTTTTTGGATGCTGGAAAAAATATATTGCATTTAATCTTCCTTCAGGACTAAGGATGTTGTCTCTTTGCTTTGCCTGGCATAAGAGGTAGATTATAATGATTGTGTAATCCTAAGAATTTGATTTTTTAAAAAAAGCTAAATATTGGAAGAAAACAGGACTTTTAGAACTGGAATATACCTGGTTTTATGGCCTCGTCAGTTAATTGTTCAAGAAGTTATACATTCTCTTTGTTGCAGAGATTTTAGTAGGACTTAAAGATAGTAAATACAAGTGGGTTAGTTCTGTTAGAAGCTAAGTGCCCACAGCTATGGCAACAGCTGCCCTGGCAGGGCTTCAGTATAAATACATACAGCCTGGAGAGGGACCAAAGACTGATTAGTGCAGTTCTAGCAGCTGAATTCAGCAAAGCTCTGATGTTCCCACATGGATCAAATGAGGTCTGCAGGAGGTGTGTTGGTACATGGTCAGAGTAATGATAAATGCATTGCTGGTATGTGCAGACTAAAACCATGCTGCTGTTTGCTATTGCCACAACAACTATGCATTCACATATTCACGTTCAGACTATTTGTCTTCTCCAAAACTGTAATTTGTAAAAAGAAATCCAAAACATCAAACCACATTTAAGATTCCCAAGTGTCATGTTGCTTTTTCCTGCTTCCCTAAGTGATACTTTTTTTCAGTGTAAACTCAAAAGTTATACTTGTCCTTCCGTGTAACATTTGTGACAATACTAGAAGCTGTTTTTATTTGGGGCATCAGGTATTTAAAGTTCTCTGCTAATCAGACTTTGCTATTTTTATTTCACTGGAAGAAAACATTAACTTGTACATAGTACTGTGTTCCTTTTAGACACATTTCAGACACTTATCCTGTGAAATTAAAAGTAGAATGAAATGAACTGCAATTTTTAAAATCTTTTGCTTAACTAAGATACTTCAAGTATAGTGTAACAAAGAATATAATTTTATAGTATCTCCTATTTTAACTTGCTGGCAAGATAAATTAGCTTGAGAGGGGGAAACTTAGTTAAGTATTACTAAATGTGATTTCATGGTACATCACAAAAATCCAAGAAATCCACTGTGGATTTGTATTTTTAGTGGTCTCTCTTGAAAGATTACAGATGTAAATAAAAGAATCCCCTTGTATTTTAGTTTTTTATTACATCTGTATCTCTATGAATGTAGCGAATTATCAATCCTGTTTCCTTCTTTTATCTTTTCTTTAGCAAATTTTATGTACTAATAAAAAAGACCCAGTGCACATGTGCTTTAAATATCTGTAAGTGTTTTGATTGCTCACCATTTACTGATGTCTGCATGTTTACCTTTCTATTTTCCCTTTTAATGAAAGAATTATTATGTGCCTGTTGTTTGGGGTTGTTTTCCTGTTTCATATTGATTTGAATTTTTCCTTTGTATTGTGGTTTTATTTATAATTTCCTTTTCATAACCCTGTTGGAATTCGCCTACACTAAGGACTTTTCTTGGCATGTCTGTGTTCGAGTAACTGCAGTCACAGTTAGGGACTGCAGTTCAATGTCTTTTTAAAAGGATAGTTTTTCCACGGTTATTTTCTTAACAAACTGTGTTTAAAAAGCATGAAAGCAATCCATACTCACAGGTGGTAAATATCTGTATGTGCTTCCCTTTGACTGAACCATAACAGGAAGTTTTGGTATTCTCCTCCAGCCCTCACACACTACTTTGTTGCATTTAGTGCCTTAATTTCCCTGAGAGAGAAACATTTTAAGATGTATCATTTTACTCAGACTGTGTTGGGTTTTGCCAGCCATCTGTGAAGATAAGGGAATAGACTTGGCATGTGTCGCAGTCATAGCTGAAAAATGTAATTTTCCTATAATTTCCAATACATTTTTTCCCCTCATTATCTGCAGAATAAATGCTCTTATTAAAATTTAAGAAGCCAGTGACTCACCAGATTATGCAGCTAAAGAACATTTTCCCCTGGATAGTAAGTGGGCTTTTTTCCTCTCTTGATATCAGAAATGCAGCACTAGTACTATCCTAGAGGTGAGAAAAATAAAATGAATGCCAAAAGTGTTGATACAGAAATTTCTAACTGCTGGAATTTCACAGACACTGAGCAAACAGTTGTCTCAGTGCAGTCAGCAGCGCTCATCCCTGATGATAAACGTGCTGGAAATGCAGAATGTACGTGTTTATTTTTAATTGTGTTGCATCTGAGTAACAGTTTTGAAAATTACAATTTGTTCGCTGATTTCCCCCCACAAGTCACTGTGTTTGTAGTGACTCAGTTTTACTGAACACTAACAAATAGCTTGGGCTTCTGCAGAGTGATTAGAATGCTGCACCCCAGCAGCATCTCTCTGCATGGTTTCCCCTCTTATTCTGTTTTCTACTGAGGTTTGTATGCAAGTGGCGTTCTACAGCCTGTAGTGCCTCACACAGATTTTACTGATGAACAAATGTGAACAAATGTAGGCTTTTACAGGTTTTGTCTCAGTCATGGGTCATGGCAGTCCTAGGCACACCTACAGATTGGGTGGGGTTGTAATTGAGGGCAACACTGAGGAGAAAGACTTGTGGGTGATGGTGGATGAGAAACTCACCATGGGCTGTAGTGTGAGCTCACAGCCCAGAAACCAACCGAATCCTGCGCTGCATCCAAAGGAGTGTGGGCAGCAGGTCAAGGGAGGTGATTCTCCCTCTCTACTCTGCTCTCGTGAGACCCCATCTGGAATACTGCATGCAGTTCTGGTGTCCTCAACATAAGAAGGACACGGAATGGTTGGAGTGAGTCGAGAGCAGGCCATGAAGTTGATAAGAGGATTGGAGCATCTCCTCTATGAAGACAGACTGAGGAAGTTGAGGCTGTTCAGCCTGGAGGGAAGGTTGCGTGGAGACCTCAGAGCAACTTTCCAGGATCTGAAGGGGCTACAGGGAGCTGGAGAGCGAGTCTTTGTTAGGAATGGCAATGAAAGGACAAGGGGCAGTGGGTACAAATTGAAGGAGGGGAAATTTAGGTTAGATATTAGGAAAAAGCTCCTTCCTGTGAGGGTGGTGAGACACTGGCACAGGTTGCCCAGGGAGGCTGTGGCTGCCCCAACCCTGGCAGTGTTCAAAGCCAGGTTGGCTAAAGCCTTGAGCAACCTGTTCTGGTGGGGGGTGTCCCTGCCCAGGGCAGGGGGTTGGGACTAGATGATTTGTAAGGTCCATTCCAACCCATTAACAATCTATGAAAATATGTTATGTTATGCATTTGAGTAAGATAAAAGTGTTTTTTTCTGTTATTTGACAATACCATAATTTGGAAGAGAAAGTTTAGATTAGGTCTCAGAAAAGGCAGTTGATCCTTTATAAGTGTAAATTTTTCTTTATTTGAAACAAATTTGCTTTGACATGTTTGTTACTAATATCACAAGTATTGTGTTTCCTAACTCTTACCTTTTCACCCTTAGAATCTTGAGTTTTGTTATGTAAATCTGGAACATAATAGTTGATAATATTTCCTGGAAGTACATTCATTTTAAAGCACATGTTCTTATTCCACTCCTATGTGGATCTGTCACTTACAGCTTCATTTTAGGTTTTAGAAGAGTGAAAACCAAGTGGTATCTAGTAAATATGATAGCATTGTAGAAATTTGCTTGGTTTGAAAATTGACTATATCTGAGGACTACAGCAGTTTGCACCTGCAAGAAGTAAATTGCATTTGTAGTTCCAGTTGTGTTCCATCTTCATGAATGGCTCAAGTCTAATTGCTCTGGTTGAGTCTAAATGTATTTTGGGCAGGTCCTGTTGAAGATTGCCTGATTGCCTGTCTTGCTTTTCCAGTGCATTTCCACGCTGTCTTAAAACATAGGGATGTTCACAGTGCTATGCAACACAACACAGAAATGAAAAGCAGAGTCACATCATGTAATTGGTAACTTTAAAGATGTGTTGTGCTATGTTTAAACAGCTGCATGGCATTGTATTTCTGCCTGCTGTGCTGCTTTTCCTCTCTCCTCTTCATGTCTTGGTCTTCATTACTCTTGGTGTTTGTAAGTCTAGTTTAGGTTGTAGGTCAGTTTAGGTAGATAAAATGCCTTTTGATTTGTTTATGTTGTTGTGTGTCTATTTCTGAGAGCTCTAAATGTCAGTAGTCATTCCAGTAGCGATTTGGGACACAAGGAGGGCAGGAGGATCCTGTGAAGCAGAACTGCTTGAAGAATTACAGTGCTGATTGCCACAATTTCATTTTCTCTATGTTGAGGAGGCAGAATTATTTTTAGCTCTTTAATTTTAGTGTGTTCCTACTGCAAGTGTTTGGGTGCTTGGATTGTCACTACTGCTTGAGCATCACTAGGTTGGAGAAGGGTAGAAGGAGGAAATATTGAATAACAGACATCTGTATATTACAGCATAAAATATCTTTACACCCCACCTTGCTGTGCACATTAGAAATAAACAGCAGAATGTTCCTGGCCTGAAGATATTGTGGTTCAAAAAGAACACTTATATTGCATTTATTTTGATATATAATGTACATTTTAGTCATCTGCACAAGATTTAGCAGTGTTAGTTACTGTACTCTTTAGCATCTAGGGATCGTTCAATATATGTAGAAGGCAATTATGGTACCTTCTTTGATCATTTCAGAATTCTTACAAACATCTGTTTACTCTTACAGCTAGCCACTTAATGCCACCACTCCTTGGTGTTGTAGATTGTTGAAAAGATTAAAGGAGTTTTCTTGCAACCTATTATGAAGACTAGTGAAAAAATACTGATAAGTTTCTAATTTTCTTTATTCTGGATTTCCTCTTATTTATATGTGTTCTTTAGTTCAAGGAGCATCTGGATAAGGCTTTTAGTCCCATGGTTTAGTTTTAGGTAGTCTCATGAATCGGGAGTTCAAATTCATGATTCTTTATGGGTCCCTTCCAACTTGAGGTAATCTATGGCTATAACATTAAGACTGGAATAAAATCTCTATAGTCAGTATTTTCGTGTCTCTGAGTGCTGATATAGGTGGTGTGTAAAATGTTGTAATCACTTCCTTAATTTTGGAGAGTATTGCAAGAAGTACTTTGTGTGTTTTCTGGAATAAGGACGAAATCTAAAAATAGGAATTGCATGAAACACTGATCATGTGTAACTCTAGGCTGCAGCACTTGAGAGAAACAGTAACATTAAATGAGGTTGATAACCTGGTTTCCTGGTTAACCTTACTGTGTAGCTCAGTGTACATACACTTGCTATCCAGTATGCCCTGTGATTGTCCAGGGACTCTTTGCAGAAGTGAATGCATTCTGGGGATGGAGCAGAGACAGTGCTCAGAATAATTTCCCACAGACACGTTGATGCTGAAATGTTTTGTCTCTTTGTTTTCAGAGTTGCAATAGTTTCCAAGTCTTTTGAAGGGAAAACTGATCGGACAGAAGACTGGTATGGAACACAGTACAAGCAAGAAGCCATTTCTGATGAAGTTATTAAGGCATGTTAAAACTTCTAGTATGTTCTAATATCTGCAAGTGAAAGTCAGTGGTTAATTCTTGGTCTAATTTTCTATTTAGTTGAAGGGAGAGCTTAAATCTGCTGCTCTGCATAGCATGAAAATCATACAGTGAGTCTGTTTAATGTTATGAGAATTAAAGATCTTGTGTTAAGTCTTTAGATTCCAAATATTTATTACAGAGGATTAAACCATGTTAAGTACAGGGAATGTGATACTGGTTTTGCTGTAAAAGTTCCATAATATGCAGTGGCTACTTAAAAATGTAGCCATTAAGTTTTTAAAAAGTAAGGGACTCTATTATATGTTAATGAACTAATCTGTACTTAGAAATCTTTTTACAGCTGTTGTATGTAATGTCTTTGAAATTGATTTTTGCAACCTAGAGAACGAGTATATTTTGCCAGTTAAATGAGATTGTAGAAACGAAAACTCCAATGAGGGAGGTGGGGAAGTCCTTATTGAAACTCTTCTGTCCTTTTAAGAATAGATACTATATATGTGTGTATATATATCCCTGAGAGCTGAGGGAGACCTGCTGAAGAGTGGTTTGCACAGACACTGGACAGGACACTTCCTTTACCTCAGCCATATCTATGTTCTTCATTAGAATTTGTGTTTAAGTATTTAGTTTAATATCTTCATTTGGAGTTCACAGTAGGAGAAAAGATGAGACATAAAACCACCTTCCACTCTACTGTAACCTTTTCTTTCTCCTCCTCCGAGCTGATAGCGTACTCCAACTTGTTTTCCCAGCTGTTTCTCTTTTTCCCTGTTATTTTAATAGTATTTACACATAAGGTAGTGAAATGCATTTTTAAATCTTTTGTTTCAGCATAAAGTAAGTAAGTATATATCCATTAATTAAGCTTAGCCTTATTGTTTCTCCTATTTGTCTAGAAATGGCAAAATGCTGACCTGAATGGGAAATTCAAGCTTCCAATGAAGAATGAGTTCATTCCTACAAACTTCGAGATCTTGCCATTGGAAAAAGATGCGACACAGTACCCTGCACTTGTCAAGGTAACCTGTCTGCACTGTGTGTTAGCTAACCTTCTGTGAAGTTAGAAGCTAATTCCTCTGTGTTTTTAAAGCACAGATCATGTCATATTCCAAAGTAGTAAGCAAAAAAGCACAAAGCTTAAAGATATTGCTAGAAAGACCTGCTTGCATGGAAAAAGGGGAGAGATGTAAACAGGTAAATAGACATCACCCTCTAGTCCCTTGGAAGCATCATTTAATGATATCAAAATGTTTAGCAAATCTCGGTGTTTCTGAGTACCTAAAAGTTACTTCTCCTAAAGCATCGTTGTCTTTACTAATGCTGTTCTAGGCTTAGTTGGAGCATAAATAAGAAAGTCTTCTGCAACTACATGTTGTACTTCAGTTTGAATAGTCAGTTCAGGAATACTGTTTTCACACCAGATGGATTGAAGTCTGCTCTAGTGCAGGAAAAATATGTGTTCTGCACAGGACATTTCAAGTGTATACTTGAAACAATATTATTAATGAAGACTTTGAACAGAGGTTTATGTTCATCCTGAACTGGTTTGCTACAGAACCCCGATGGTCCTTCGGTGCCTCTGTAGCAGTTACGTAACTGATGTACACAAAAGCTTTGATTTATGACATCATGGATTTGGGAATGTATTTGCTTTTAGTTTTTCCTTTCCCTTTAAAAATCTGTCTTCTGAGGGGAAAATGTTTTTATGCTTGATGAAATAGACTTTATTTTGCCTGAATCTTTCCAGCTGTATGTCTGTGCCATTTTCTTTTCGTAGGCGCTGCCATTTGTCTGAATCCACAGCAAACCATCTCAAGAACTAAATCAGCAAAGATTATCTGTAAAAATAAGCAGGTTTTCTGCTGTGTTACATCCCTCAGTGAGCTTGCTGAGGACTGGACCAGAAAGGGGAGGCACAGGAACATAAGTACAGGAATAGGATGGCCATTCTCACTGGCAGCATGTCACTATGTCACCTTTGTTGTAGTGGCACATCTTGTATTGCCTCTGGCAAACCCTCAGGATAGAGGGCAGTTAGGCTGTGACTGTGGCCAGATTGCTCTGTGGACTGCAGGTGGTGATCTCATGCTGTTGGATCAGGTCTGCAGTTCTACAGACAGGCTTTACTGCTCAGCATTCTGTCCCTCGTGTGAGATGTATTCTAAACTGCATAGTGGCAATTGAAGAGAATAAAAACATGGTTGTCTCAGAGAGGAGATGTAATTTGGCCTTTTATTTTGTGTCAGGTATTGTGGTGGAAGGTGTGCTGTAAAAGACGTTTCTTTTATGGAAACACAAGGAGGGAAATACCATGCTAAGTCCCTGAGAAGCAAAGATCTGCTCAAATATATGCGAAAGAAAAATAATCCTACATTTAAAAGTTCTCTCTTATGCATAGCAATGCAAAGCAAAGGTGTTGGGGACGTAAAGTTAACTGAAGTTGAAACAGGAAGGGAGTGTGTATTTCACAGCTTTTGTGGGAGAAAAAACAATAGGGAAGGTTGTTTAGATTCTTTCCTATACCAGGAAATTATTCTAAAATAATTTGAAGACATCTTTTAACTAATTTCCAATCAGTTTTACGACTTTTTCTAAATGCATTTTTTGTTTCTGATATTACTTTAATACAACATACAAGGCATTCATATTTTTTCCTGAAAGCATTAAATACACAGTTATATTTTTAGTCTAAAACATGCAGTGATATGCTGCTGTAGTGATGCATAGTGACACATCCTTTATTGCCAGCATTAGAAGGGAATTTTTGTGCAGCTAACTCTGTATTTGTCTTTTGTCACTCCTGCTCTAGAAAAGTAGTTCTCATTCACAATGCTGTGGCCATTTAACTGCTTGTTAAGGTGACGTGGTAAGAAGAGAATTCAAATAAGGATAGATAGATGTATACACAAATGTATATAGCAAGAATATGAATTTTAAGGGGACAGTACTAAGCTGAGATTTGGAGAGACTTCCTTTAAAATAGTGTCATATTGCAGTTAAATGGTGACTTACCAAAACCTCTTTTCTTGACACAGGACACTGCTATGAGCAAACTGTGGTTCAAGCAAGATGACAAATTCTTTTTGCCAAAAGCTTGTCTCAACTTTGAATTTTTCAGGTATGCAATGTTAAATATATCACATTAATTGCTCTCCAAAGGTTTCTTGTCTGTTGGGAATCTGCATTTCTGTGACAAAAACTTTCTTGTGTGTATTGACACTTTAAAATGTTTGCCCTTACTTGGAATGTGCAATAAGGTGTAGATACCAGGAAGGCTCATCTAAGTTATGCAGGAATGGAGTAGCAAGCAGTTTGAGCTGCTCCATCTATGTAAATAGGCAACGTTTATCTAAACATGCTTTTAAAACAAATTTTCTGCTTTGGTTTATTTGCTATCCTTGAAATATACCTGCACTAGGACCTACTGCATATTGCAATATACATCTTTAAAAACACGTGTATTTTTAAATTAATTGCTAAATCACAGCGATTTTGAGACGTGTTTTCTTCATAAAATGCTACTCTGATAACAGTTTGAGATTCAAATTCTATTTTCATTTGCATGATGCAAGCCAGGATAAAATTACCAAGTGGTTAAAATTCGGGGATTTTACTTAACTGACACCAGCTACTGATATATATATATTTATTTTTTTTATTTTCTGTATTATCAATGAATGTGTGATTTTCAAGATGCATGATAAAATGCTGTAATGTTAATTCAGGTCTTGTAATATTTTCATCACAGGGAAATTATCTTACTTTTTTAAGTGAGAAAGGCAGTGCTGGACCTTCTTAGTGCTCCTTTCAAGTAATGAATATACCTTTTGAATTAACAAAAAGTACTGCTGTCTTTAGAGTGCAGCTGTTTCTGTTGGACTACTGAAGGGCAAAGAATTTAGGGACTCTCCTTTTGCCTAATTAAATGATTCAGTGATATTGCTGGAAAGGCTATTCTGCGGGCTCTGATAAGTGCTCATAGATGCACTGTGAGTCCTTGTTTTGAGGGACCACTTGAAATTTTCTTGCAGAATTTTAGCTAGCAGTTTTTTTCAGAGCATGTCATGTCTTGGTACTAGTGTTGAGGAAAATAGGTTGCTTGGGCATTTTCTCTTTCTTTTTGCTTTATGAAACCAGAGGGCAAATATTACAACTATTTCAACTTCAGTGTGTCAGGAAATGGAGGATCAAGATGGTAACTGCCCATCTCTTATTCAGAGAACAATTGCATTGCTTTACCTTTATTGTTCATACTTGGTGGCTTTGTCTTGTACTATATCTGGCCAAAATCTAACGTAGTGTCCATCAATAAAATCCTAAGTTGTTTTTTTAAAAAAATCAATTCAGATGAACTATGGGTGATCTACTCTCTAAAACAGTTTGTGAACAATTAAAATATGATGATTCATTTTATGTGGAGCACATAAAGGTATTTTGTGTGCACACACACACAATATCATTGTTTGGGTTGGAGGTGACCTTTAAACGTCATCTACTCCAACCTTCCTGCAATGAGCAGGGACACCTTCAACTAGATCTGTGGTGATGGTGTTTCCCAGTTAGATTTCTACTTTGATTTCAGTGAGCCCTTTAAAAGTCCAGAAGTATTTGGGCTTTGCTGACCAATGTAATGGAATGGTTTGCCTCTTTCTTCATAGGAATGGTTACAAGTGGAAAGTTGGCTTTTTCCTTAGCATTGGGAGTGAGGGGTCTTTCTCCTTCAAAATAAGATGGTAATTGTATATGAACAGAAGTTGAGGTGATTTTGACAATATTTGGGTACATTCAAAAGCAGTTGTCAGCAGTTTATCAAGTTGAGACACTTGAAAAGGATTCTTGGTGAATCTCTGTCCTTTTGTTCATCTGATGGTCATTGAAATGGTGAAATATGTAGTGTTTATTCATGAGTCTTGGTGAAATCACCCCTATGTGACCAAGGGAGTTGGTGAATAAAGCCATTTAATGACATGGGTTTTCATAAAAATTTTAAACCTCAATTCTAGATCAGAATATGAAGGCTGTGCTGCCTTCACACTACAGACTGCTTCAGTAAGATAGAAGCAACTAGGAGGATTTATTCTGCCTGCAGCCCTGATCATCATGAATCATAGAAAGAATTCTTGACCCAGAAGTTATAATAACAATTGCTGTGCAGATGAATTAAGAGGAAGTTGATGAGGGTGGTTTCTCCCTCAGATGTCCAAATCCCACAGGAACAATGAGGATATGAACCTCTTGAAATCACCTTGTTGCAAAACTGAAATCCTTACAGGGATCCTGTTAAAGAACCACAGTAAAATCATCTGACATTGTCACCCTGTCTAAGAGATCATGATAAGCTTTTGCTTTTGTATGATTTGAACTTAAGACTTCAACAAGTATCCTTTTTTAAAAGGAAACAAAATAACCATGTCATGTGCTGATGTTTTGAAAGCTCTTTAAAGGTAGTTACCAGCTGGACACTTGAGTGTTGATTCCAGCTATGTCACTTACAGCTCTGTTAGAAAGGGGAAAAAACTAGACTTCAAGATTTTTTCACACTATCACTGATTGAGTTGTTGTTCTTCTGTCTAGAGAAAAAAAAGGTAAACTAGAAGTAAGCATTTGTTTACAAAACTGTCAGTAATAGGAGGGAACTCTGAGAACAGTGTTGTTATAATGGTTTTGTTATTTTTGACTTGAGGATTAATGTTTTAATAGTCTTGATTATTTTCAAAACTCCCTACTGGCCTTTGCCAGCTAAATGAGTGTACAGAATTGATATCTGGTACAGCTGTAGTAATCACTCAAACTGATTGAGTCTCTAGTCTAGTATCAAAATGGAAAAGAATTTAACGAGTTTGGAGGAAGGTTTTATGGTAACATAGGATTGACCTACATCTTGCTTTGAATTCAGTCTTAATTAAAAAATTCAGTAGTAATTGGATTTGCATCATTGGGCATATTGAAATTGCTCAGTTTTGGGAAATTCTCATTGGAGGGAGAAATGCAAATGGGAGGCCTCTTGGTTTTTTTACTGACCTGCTTGTTTAATCTGGGCCAAGACTAAAGCAGGGTCTGCTTCTCTAATAGGTTTTTTATTTATTTATTAATTTATTTATTTTAAATCTCTGCTTCCTTTCCCTAATCTAAAAGGAAGGACTGCATTACCACAACCTATGAGGAACCTTCTTAAAAATACCTTTGTAATGTACTTTAAACTGATCAGCTTGCTTGTTGTGGCACTGTGACCTTTGTTTTACTACATTAATGTTGATATACACTGTGAAATATCATGCTGTGTAGGTGTAAGTACATGGGAATTGGGTGAGTTTGAATTGTAAGCCACATCCTCACAGCAGATTGGTTCAGATGCTGCTGACTCTTTCTGTGACGTTGCTAAGGAATTTACATGCACTTCAAATAGTACAAATATCTAGCCTTGACTTGGCAAATCTTTAAAACACCAAGGTGTTTAACAATTAGCACAGTTGAAACATGGCCTGAGTCTTTGAGTTGCATTTCTCTTTTTGAGAAATTTGCAACACTTGTACGTCATCAGATGCTTCTAATGCAACAGCAGGTCTGGTGCAGTTATTGCTGTTGAAAAGATAACACAAAAAATGATGGTGGTACAAAAATGGATATGCCAGACTTCTTTCCTGAGCTGAACTTCGCATGTACTGCATATTTTCATACCAGAAATTGCTGATCTCTTAATTTTTGTAATAGAAACTGCTTTGTTTTCTGATAGCATATGAGTGTTAATTCAATGAATGTTCAGCTTTCACTTTGGTTTGTTAAGTTATGTTGGTACATTGAGTTTATTTTCCTCCTGGTGAATTCTGACTGTGCAGCCAAGCAAATATAATGTCTCTTGATTTATGAGCACAAATAGAATATGTCTGGAATCTTCTATATATTTAGGCATGGCTCAAACCATAAGTAACTGTTTCCAGGTATGTTCATATTTGGTTTTGAAATAGGAATCCTTCATAATGGGATCCATCAGCTTAAAATCCCAGAAAATATTGTTTCCTTCAGATCAAACTTACAAGGCCAGAAGAAACAGAGAAATAATTTTAAACTGCATATTTTACTTTCAACATTTTCTTCCAGCCCATTTGCTTACGTGGATCCCTTGCATTGTAACATGGCCTATTTGTACCTTGAACTACTCAAAGACTCCCTCAACGAGTATGCATATGCAGCAGAGCTAGCTGGCTTGAACTATGATCTCCAAAATACCATCTATGGGATGTATGTAAGTACCCAAATCAAGGAAAAGCTTAGAGCCTTAAAACTACTTCCACTCATCAACATTTTTATATTGATTTGATGGAAGGACTTTTATTTAAAAATCAAAGGCAGTTAGTCCTTTTGACCTTGATTATTAACCATCCTTTCTTTGATTTGAATTTTGAGTTGGATTTTGTTCAAAGTCTTCAACAGTCTTTCAGTTCACACTAAGCAAATTTTCTTCTTTATTTTTATATCATTCATGAAATGAATTAGTTGTAAGATTTCTTCCTCCATTTTTTTTAAAAAAAGAGCAACCCTAATCCAAGCTTACATATTTATTTAAGTTTGTCAGATATCTACTAAAAGCTTTCTGACTGATGGGGTAAAAGAACCCCTTTTCATGCTATTGAATAAATGGTATATACTTCAGCTTTCCTGTTCAAGAACTACCGATCATGAGGCTGCATATACATACTCTTCAGTCATGTTTCTTCATCCATTACTTTGTCACTGCTTGAGGTATCAAAGCATTTCTTTTGTTTTTCTTTTTGTTAGTCGCTACATTTATGCTGATCCTCTCCATTGCAACATGACATACCTGTTTATCAGGTTATTGAAGGATGATTTAAAAGAGTATACATATGCAGCACGCCTCTCAGGTTTGAGCTATGGCATTGCATCAGGAATGAATGCAATACTTGTAAGTAAGACAAAAAACGCAGGAGGAAATGAAACAGCTTGGGACTTGTTGAGCTTGGAGAAAACATTTGACTTCTGCATTTCTAAATGAGATGGTTAATGGTGGTTTTTTCCCCCTTGAATATATCTCATGAATTAAAGGCAATGCAAAATTGTGTTTTAACCAGCACCGAGTGCCGTGGTTCAGACTGCAGTGTCTCGTGAACATGTGTGCAGTGCAGTTGTTGCCTTCTGGTCCTCATTTTTACTTGCTTGCATGGTAACCTGGAAAGTACTATATTGCTGGTTTCTGTATAAAAAGATTAACCCTTCTGTGGAATGAACTTCAGCTTTACAGATTTTGTTCTAATCCTCTAATTCTGCTGTTGTGAGCTGTGAAAATGGATTGTGCATGTGTTCATTAGAGTGCAATGCTGGATATTTATGGCTTTTCCTAAGTGTTTGTTTTTATTGCTTGTTTTATAATCTGTTTTTTTAGTGCTGACAATACTTGGCAAATACTGGTATTATGATAAATGGGTATTTCTGACTCAGCTTCTCCTATGAGATATATGATAGGAGATTTTAGTAGTCTGTCTCGAAGCTCTGTTAAAAGCTTTTGTTAACCATCATTATATACCAGAATGTGTTTGGAAATTTCCTGTAGAAGTATTATTTTCCAAAGCATCTTAGTAAAAGAATATGCTGTGTATTGTCTTTACGTTTTCTGTTTGAGGGAGTGCTGCAATTTCTCTTTTTATCCAGGACAAATCTAATTTCCTGGTAGCATTTACTTGACTTACTGCAAACATGATTTTATGTTCTCAGTTTCAAAGCTTTCTGCTGTTTCTGTGGTTGGGATTAATTCCTTTCAAAAGAAAAAAGAGTGTAATTTTCTTCATTTTTAGTCACAGCTTAAAAGTTTAAGTATTATCTGAGAACTTGTAATGATCTTTTCTGTGTTGTGAGAAGATCTATAATAGATCAGTGTAACTGTACAATGTTGATACTTGAAGCAGAGACAGATGCTACACTGGAAACAGTCACCCACAGTGATCAGTGAGCACTTTGGGTTCCTGTGCTACTGTAGGATAGCAGCCTTAGTCACAAGGCATTCAGGATAACTTTTTATTCACATTCATGTTTCAGCTATGTTTCAGCAACTCTAGGAGAAAAAGATTCTTCCTCCTGGAAAGCAGGAATTCACCTGGATGTTGGCTTGTCTTCTAAAGCTTAGTTTTAATAATTAAACTGCACAAGTCCAGTGAAATTCCTGGCCCAAGATAGCAAATTTGGAAGTTCATTCCTGCCAAAAAAAAAAAAAGCCTTTTAATGCCTTTTTTTTTTGCTGGAGAAATTTTCTGTAGCTTGATGGAATTATATAGTACTTTTAAAGTTTTATGTTGTTTTTTAAGTGACCAAATTTATTTCATATACTTTCAAAAAATATGTCTGATCAGATCAGTATCTCATTTTGATTGTAGACTTAACTGCCTTGGTATTTCAGCCCAGCACCATCCTGGTTATAAATTGTGCATTTATAAATATACATGCACCCTTTTTCCTGTAGTGCTACTTACTTCCACTTATGTAAAATGCTTTTTTGGTTTAACAAGATAAACATGAAACGAGGTCAAAAGTAAATTGGAGAGAATATTTGAAAAGGTTGTGAGTCTAGACCTCGTTACTGAAGTGAGTAACCTAAAGTCATTTCAGTAGTCCAGATGTACAGTTTCCTGACTAGACTCAATGCTGTAATCATTAAGAATCTGTATCCTGAGTACAATTTGCACACATCAACATGAAATTACTTTAATTTTCTGCATTTGTAACTCCTGGGAAAATGTGCATTGTATTAGTTATCATCTGATGGGTAAAGGGATTTTATTTGAGAGTGAATAAATGTTCAATAACAGCAAATTCAGAGTAAGTATTGAAAAGTACAAGACTTTGGTAATTGTTTTATTCATTTATCTTCCACATTTAAAGCAAATTATGCACTTTTTCCGTAGCTCTCTGTAAAAGGGTATAATGACAAGCAACATATCTTGCTCAAGAAGATCATTGAGAAAATGGCTACTTTTGAGATTGATGAAAAACGATTTGAGATTATCAAGGAAGCGGTAAGATCCTGAGAAATGCACAGTTTGGGGTCATTTAAAACTGAATGCATTGACTTGAGATGAAATCTGAGGGCTATCCACGGAAATATCCCCAGCCCTGGCAGTGTTCAAAGCCAGGCTGGATAAAGCCTTGTGCAACCTGTTCTGGTGGGAGGTGTCCCTGCCCAGGGCAGGGGGTTGGAACTGGATGATCTCTGAGGTCCATTCCAACCCCTTAACGTACTGTGATACTATGAAATCTGGGTGGGGAGATGGTCAGGGGGCAAATCTTAACTTTATATCTCGGTTTGCTGTTGGGAAAGGCTTCAGTGGGACCTAGCCATAAAAGAAGGCAGAAATGGATGAAAGGGGAAATAAAGTGTTGAAAAGATCTGCAACATTACTTCTCCCCATGTGTCTTGGCTCCTGGGCCAAGTAACCAGCTGGTTAAATACGTGGTGACTTCTAGAAGTCAAATCAGATGGGGAGGTTGCAGTTTTTTCCCCACTTGTATCTACACTGAACAGATAAGGGAGATACCAGCTTCTGGCTTCTGTTGGGAACTGACAGAAGGATACGTCCTCAGCAACTTCAGGCTTGCTGTTTGTCACTCATGTGCCCTGAAATTAATTACTGTTTTCCTAAACTGGAAATGCTCCCAGCTTTCCAAAACTATTAGTTTGCACATTTCAGTTCCTCTGGTAGAGGAAAAAGATTTTGCTTGTTTTGTAAAGGTGCAGCTGGACTAGAAAGGAGTTTTTGTGGAGAAGCTCACTAATTATTCTCTCATACCTTCTTTATCCATGCAAAGAATTTTCCAGATGCTCCTGGTTTTGTCTAACCAAGTCAACTGAAGGAAGCAACTGGAAAAAAAGTACATTTTCTTTTAGCAGTATTCCTCCACCCTGCCCAGTCCTCAGGATGTGTATTTCCTGGGCAGAGCAACTTGATCTAAATACTTACTAGGTATAACTGCGGCAGAGCAACTTGATCTAAATACTTACTAGGTGTAACTGCATTAATTGGTTTTCCAGTCATGAATTTTCTGTAAGAGTTTTACTTCATGCTCTTTTCAGCTATCTTAATGGTTGCTGCTCAGTCCAAAGGCCCAGAAACCAAAATTGTTTCATTTAACTCAGTTTTTTAACAGTTTTAACAAGCAGGAGAATGTTCTCAGTATCTGAAATGTCTCTTTTTGATGGTACATGAAGTTGAGAGTACCATGTTAATTTTTTGTTTAGAACTCTGTTTCTAAATTTCTAATTGGAACTTAATTATTTTGGTTTAGTACATGAGATCACTTAACAACTTCAGGGCTGAACAGCCTCACCAACATGCCATGTATTATCTCCGACTCCTGATGACAGAAGTTGCTTGGACCAAAGATGAATTAAAAGAAGCTCTGGATGGTAATGTTCTGCTGCTTTTAAACTTCACTATTTCAATTTTTTTCCTATGGAAAATGTCTTGCTACTAAACTAACGAGGGTACCTAATTTGAACTCTGCTCACTATTCAGTTGAAAATGAAGCTCCTGCAGTGCCAGACCTGAGCTGCTGCTGGTCTTGCTGCATTTCAGGTTTCAGGAAAGTATAGTAGTTCAGGAAAAAGGCCTCAAATGGCAAAACTTTGCCAGTGGAAGCTGAGGCAAAATTTGAACAGCTTCGTGGGTATGAGCCTGGGTGGGGTGAATCCAATGCTTAACCAGCATTGGTAAAATCATTTGACTCTAGTTGACATCTTGCATACCCATCGTTTTGTATTTGCATTGTACTTCCCCGTGTGCAAACTTATGTTGTATTTTCCATTATCAGGGAATCCTAACTCATGTTTCTATAGATGATACAGAACTGCAGCTAATAAAGAATAGAAGTTGTCATTTCTGTAGATAGTAATAATAATAAAGAACATTGTGGCTATTAGAAGAGCAGGTGCCCCAATATTTGTGGGCGAAGAAGAAATTTCAAATGAAGAGATTTAATTGATTCTAAAGGCCAGGCTGGATGGAGCTCTGAGCAGCCAGGGTAGAAGGTCTCCCTGCCCATAGTAGGGTGGTTGGAACTAGATGATCTTTAAGGTCTCTTCCAACCCAAACCACACTGTGATTGTAGTAACAGCTGAAGAACTTTCCCCTACCTGTATTTTACTGTGTTGTAACAAAAGGCTGTTACTGGGACAGTTTGCAGAGTGTCTTGTAATATCTTCTTGGAATACACCGAAACATTCTTTTCAAGAATTGTCTTTTGTCTTTATTTGAGGGGTTTGATCCAGAGTACATACCCATGAACACCACATCCATTCAACCTTCCTTCCTTTCTTATTCCATTGATTCTATATTGTAAACAATACTTTGCACTGTATATGAAAACTGCTTTGCAAGGCCAGGCTAGCACAGAATGTGTATGAGTTGTGCATGTGTATACTCTGGGATATATTTTAAAAATGTTTTTGCAATATTTGTATTGTATTGTTTGTTGCAAAGATCCTACCAAAACACTATATTTGAATTGAGGGTCTGTTTTTTAGTCCAAATGGTAAATGCACAGTGTGTTTCTCAGCTGTTACAAACTACATACTGCTTGTTCAGTTAATAACTAAGGCTTTATCTCAGAACACCACCTGAATGATTGCAACTGTTTTCTCTGGAGAATGAATGTTTGTTCAGCATGATTGGAAGGAAGGCTTTTTCCCCCTCCCCCCTTTTTTTTTTTTTTTTTTTTTGGAATTGGGTAGGACAGTATGTGAATTCCAAATGTAATAAACTGTATGATGAGTGCTGCTCTTTAGACCTGGAAGCATTCCAGGGTTGCATTTTTAAGGAGACATTCACTTCTTCATGATGATGAGTTTCTCCTCCTCTAAGAAATGCACCATATCTAATGATGGCTTAGGTACTTCTTAATTTTAAAATGCATCTAAGTAATCTAACTGTCTAAATATCTGTTCTAGATGTGACCCTTCCCAGGCTCAAGGCCTTTATAGCACAGCTGTTGTCACGGTTACACATTGAAGCTCTTCTCCATGGCAATATAACAAAACAGGTTGGTGTGATTCTTTCTTTAATAAACCAAGTTTTATTTAAAAGCAACATAAAAAATAGAAGACTAGTTTAACCTTCTCAGATCTTAAAGCAGTTTTGCCAAATGTGATTTCATAATTTAACTCAGTATGGTTTTTTTAATCTTCATGGGAGTATCAGAGTGTAATTTTTTCCACTTTACATTTATTAGGCTAAGTGCTGCCCTTATATTGCTCTCAGAAGTTTAATAAGGAACAACTCTAAGATCTAAATATTTGAAAGTCTATGTTGCATGTCATTACTGTGATCAAGCTGCGTAAGGAATGATGTGCTGTAGATGCTGCTTTTCTCCATTTAAAACTTTTAGACTAACCAGCAAAGATTTAAGAATTCAATATCTTTCCAAATTAAATACTTTGCACAAAGCTAAGGAGGAATGGTGGGCTGTAAAAACCCACAAGTGTCAGCTCTCAGTTTGGGGGGTAAAGGTCAGAAAATGTTTGGTTTGTCTTCCATTAAAATAGTAATGATTTGTATTTGCATGCTCAGTTAACCAAATATTTTAATATCTGTACCAATACAAAGTGTAACACTTTTCTTGTATATTTTGACATTCTTTTTTCATGAGACTTATTTGCAGCATTTCTGTGTTAGAACAGCTCTGAAATACTTTACTAGCAGCAGATGTTATAAATGCTGCTAGTGACTGCTGAATGTATGGAGGAAAAAGTTAACTAGCCAGGAGGGGAAAAACAAAAGTATGAAGGAGCTAATAGCATGGGTAGACTAACTTTTTCAGGAAGGTATCTAAAATACTTATTTCAGAATTTTATAGATATTCTTCATGCGGATACATTTAAAAATAGTCTCTTTTTCCTTCCTTATTTCTTACACATTTGTATATGAAAATCACTTCCTTCTGAAATAGCACTGAATGACCAGAGTTTTTAGATTGCTATGTTGGTGCAGTTACATCAGAGAAAGGTATTCTTTAGTTGGCATCATGGGTGGCTGTTGAAGAGTCCTGCAGCTAGAGAGCTGGGAAGGATGTCCTGTTCCACACATAGCTGTGTGATGCTTAGAAATTGCCTGCAGACCTCCCTGAATAGATGTAGGTAGGACATCTTCTCTGGCCTTCAGTACCCATGATGTGATCATCACTGACAGAGCTCAGGAATGTTAACTTGGACCTAGGAATTTTTTCCAACTGAAGTTAAATCAAAATTTACATAGTCTTACGAAACCTTTCAATAGTGAAAAAATTTTCAGTGAATCTTAGACCTATTTAACTGCTTAAAATTCCCATTTAATTTAATTCTGATACTTGTTTTATGACAATTCCTTTTCTTTATTTGCTGCAAGTGGATGAACAGTGAAGTAATCCTGTTCAGAACATTTGTCTGAACAGTCTTGTTGTAAATATTGTAATATGGTGACTTGATTGAAAAAATATATAGTATTTTTCTCTAGTCTTTCAAACTGGGAGATGATGGGGAGGTGTATGTTTATTAAGTTTTCAGACCTGTATTTGGGCAGTGAGTCCTAACACCACCAGCATGTCAATGGAATGCATGTTTGAAATGAACCATTAATTTGTTTTCTTAAAATTTCATTTACTGAGATGTCATTTGCTTTGAAAAATGACATTTTAGGTATCTCATTTTCAAACTTTGAAAGGTGAGCACATCAAACTGGTGAAGGTGTGAAAAAAAAGCCCATTGAGCTTTAATTTCAGAAGTATTTGGGAGGGGTTGAAGTAGTTAAACATGTAGGCAATAGAGAAAACATGAAGGAAGGAGGGACTAGAGGGAATGGTCATAAGCTGAGACAGGGGAGAGTCAGATTAGATATTAGGTAAGATTTTTCCCTGTTAGGATGTTTATGCACTGGAATATTGCCCAGGGAGGTGGTGGAGTCACCATCCCTGGAGGTGTTTAAGAGGTGTCTGGATGTGGCATTGGAGGATATAGTTTAGGGGTTCCAGCAGTGACAGGTTAATGGTTGGACTTGATCTTGGAGGTCTCCTCCAACTTTGATGATTCTATGATTCTAAAGTCTTCTGCCCCAAGCTCCCACTTTCATCTACTTATGTTCTACTCTATTTGTATTAGATTACAGTATCTCTGCTTTCTATTCCTGATTGGTTTTTCCCTCACAGCACCATCAATAACTGGAAAGTCTTATCCTGCTGTTAGGTACAGAATAACTAATGATCATTAAAAATCCTCTTACGTTTTCCTTTCCAGGCAGCATTAGGAATTATGCAGATGGTTGAGGACACTCTGATTGAGCATGCTCACACAAAGCCACTTCTTCCCAGTCAGCTGGTGAGATACAGAGAAGTGCAACTTCCTGACAGTAAGTTAAATGGTTTATTTACCATTTTTAACACACGTGAAATTGAGATTCTGCTTGCTGGTGAAATTTAAAAATGTATATTACTCCGTTGCTGGGAGTGAGTTTGGAAATCAGACTTACTTCAAGTCATTTTGAACTTAAAAATCATAAATATAATTAGGTTGTGGTTTTGTTAATAAAATTACATATTACTACATGAACTTTCTGGTGCTTGAAAATCAGTTTGATTTAATTTTCATTTTTTGTATGTAAATTGGACTTCTTGGGGGTTGGAACTAGGCGGTCTTTAAACCCTTCTATGATCCTATGATTCTGTAATTCAGTTCTAATTCACTCATTATGATTTATGGAAGTAAGAGCCCTGTCCCACTCTCTGCTGCACACAGTCTACACATTTGAATAAACACCATTCTTGGAGTGTTCACTGACCCTTTAGTGGAGGATTGTACTAAATGACTTGCGTTCTGAGAAAACTAAAGCTCATATGTAAGAGAAGAAGTTCAAGATATTGCTGTGAGTGATGACACACATGTAGCTGTACAGCCAAAGCAAATTACCCATAGCTAATCATCTGTCTGGAAACTACCATATACCAAAGAAGCTGTTGATATTAAACGCTGAATTATTTTTAATGTTCATAATAGTTTCTGATAGATTGTCTTTAGAAACTGCTTACCCAGTAGAGGCAATGCAGAATTTCACTCTAGCTCCAAAAATACTTGCTGGAGGAGAAGCAGCCAGTTTCAATTTACTTGCTGATATGCTCAAGCTGTGCCATTTTGGTGTGTTAAAATAATATATTCTTTTCTTATTTCATGAAACCTATGTTGTTAGTGGAAATTCTGCTCTTAACAGTCCTAAACCATCCATTATAATTCCATTCCAGAAGACGTGGACCATTATCTTCATAACTGTGGACAACAACAATGTACATTTTTATGAACTTAAATGTTTTAACTTCGTCTTTTAGGAGGTTGGTTTGTATATCAACAGAGAAATGAAGTCCATAACAATTGTGGCATTGAAATATATTACCAGACAGACATGCAGAGCACTTCTGAGAACATGTTTTTGGAGCTCTTTTGTCAGATTATCTCCGAGCCTTGCTTCAACACTCTGCGCACCAAGGAGCAGTTAGGTGAGTTCTCCCATGGTGATTCCGTGTCTGGGTGCACACATGGATGCACTCATGGCCTTACATGAAACATGATGAGGTGTTCTTTCCCTGCTTAGTAAATTTGCCTTTTAAAGGGCACTTGGTAAATGTAAATCATCTTAGCTGCTGATGACTCAAAGAAATGTTACTGTGCACAGTCTAAAATGAGAACAGGCATGCATAATTTTTAAGATTGGTCTGAAATATGTGAAACCAGCTCTGACTAAAGAAAAATTCCATCACTGTACAGAAAAGTTTGTATTAGAATTTTTACCAAAAGGAGATTGGATCAGTTTCCTAAATTTCTAAGTCTTCAAGAATCAATAGTAGTTTGATCTTTCTCATGATCCTACTTCCAGGTGCACTTAATAATTCCTAGACTCCTAAGACTTGTTCAGGTTGGAAAAGACCTCTAAAATCATCAAGTCCATGTGTTAAACTCTAAGCCCTATCTTAGGAATGCTGCTGTATAGGTAGTGGCAAACTTCCATGTTGGTGAAGACCTAAATACATTTCAGGCTATTAAAGGACACAGCTGTTCATTGATAAGTCGAAATTATTGTAATCTGAACCAGTAAGACTGTGAACTGGTAAGGTTATTCCCAACCAGGAGAGACAGAGACTCTGCATGACAGCTCACAGGATTGAAATACTGGTGAGGAGGAACACAGCTTTTCCAAAGGTGAAAAGCAGGTGAATGTCTCAGTATGATGACTGTGAACTGCCAGAGATGTCAGGCAAGATTAGACTTTTTGTGAGCAACTTGCAGAATCAGCCATACAATATTCATCATAGCAATCCTGTCTGTCTATATATCTGCTGAAAATAGGACAGAACCCAGGTTATTTAACAGTGCTGGTGGCAGGTTTTGTACAGAAGTTTGAAGTAACCTCTAAAGAGGAGAGGGAGGAAACAGGGAGGAAGAACTATGTGTGTCCAGCACCACATAGCTGCCAAATGATAGCATGCACAAGACCTGGGAGGGAAGACAGTAGAAATACCAGAAAAACTGAGTAAACTTCATTGAACTGTTCATAAGATCTCTGAGAATTCTTAGGGAGAAAGAAGTTCAGGAGCTAGCAGTAGTAGTAGTAACAAGAACTCTTTCAAGAAGTGCTTTAGCACTGTGAGGAAGTGGAACAGAAAAGTTGGCAATGGTGGGAAAATGTCACTTAAAATGTCAACTGTGACCAGATGATTTCCAAAATAAATACCAGTCATCAAAGTCTAAGGCTTTGAACAGGAAAATAACAGATTAGTCAGGTAAATTCAAAGCTTCTAAAGAGTTCAGGTGTGATGAACTCTGCATTCTATTACAAAGAATAAAATTTTGAAGTCCTGGAATTAGAAGTCTTATCATGGGAAATTTGTGGATAATAGATGAGGTGTTGGAAAAATAAACATGGTTCCTTAAAAAAAGGGAAGAGAAAAGTGGGGAAGTGACAGGTCAGTCAGTTTAATTTTAATTCCTGGAAACTATGAAATAAGTTATCAAACTAGTTATAAATTAATGGTAGGTGACTGAGAGACACTTAGTGGAGTGCCTAGGTGGAAGTGCCACACATTTGGATGCAGGACTTTGGAAAGTCAGGACTGGAGCACAGAGAACAGTTCATTTGAAAAGTGGTGTCCTACAGAGCTCTATTGTGATCCAATGTTACTTGGCATTTTCATCAAAACTCTGGGTGATAGAAGAGTATACTTACTAAATCTTCAGATAATACTGAGTTGGGAGAGGCTGCAAGTGTGTGGGAAGACAGAATTAGAATTTAAAATTAGTTTGACATTTTGGAAACATGACTTGAATGAAGATAAGATGCAGTTTGTTAGGAGCAGTTTGGCAGGAACAACCCATGGCACAGATACAAGCTAGGAAGCAACTGGCTAGGTGGCAGTTTTGTAGAAAACTCTGCAAGGCACAGTGGATCAGCAGTAGAACATAAATCAGCAGTGTCATGCTGCTGTGCAAAATGCTGGGATGTATAAATGGAAGCTTTCAAGATGCACTCAGTAATACTCCTGAATTGTTCAGATAAGGACTTTGAAATGCTGTATCCAGTTCTGACATGAGCATCAGGGCACTGGGAGAAAGCTATAAAACACCATTAAAAGACTGAAATGAGACTGATTTGTTATTAAAGGAGGGGGAGAAGACTGAAGAAAGGATTAGTTGTTCAGATTAGCAAATGCTGCAACAAAAAGGGAATAATGCTTTATTTTTATCTAATAAGATGAAAAGTAACAGTCTTACATTGCAGCACAGAGAATTCAGATTAGATGTTATGAAAAAATAGTAAGTTCCTAATATTGAGTCTAATGAAACCCTAGAGTACAGCTTAATTTCCAGAAACCTAATCCTGGTGATGGAATTGCTTTTGTTTTGTCTTGGTCTGCCTCATCTCCTCTGAACTGGTATTTACCTCAGTGAAATAAAGATGCTTTAAAAAAATACAGTGGCGTATTTGGAAAACCTGTATTATTTTGTTTATAATACAGAATGGAGTTAGCATAGCATCCTTTTCTTGTCGAGCATGGCAAGTTTGGCAGAACTCATTGCTGCAACAAGGTTTTAATTTGTGGCTGTTGTTGTTTTGCCAAGGATACATCGTGTTCAGTGGCCCACGGAGGGCGAATGGCATACAGGGACTGCGATTTATCATCCAGTCTGAAAAGCCACCACACTATTTAGAAAGCAGAGTTGAAGCATTCTTAAAAACTATGGAGAAATGCATAGAAGACATGACGGAAGAGGCCTTCCAGAAACACATCCAAGCTTTAGCAATTCGTCGTCTAGACAAACCAAAGAAGCTGTCAGCAGAATGTGCTAAGTACTGGGGAGAAATCATTTCCCAGCAGTATAACTTTGACAGAGGTAAGACAAATTATAATGCCTTTAAAACTGAATGCTGTGGTTTGGCTACACTTGTGACTGCTGAGTGTCATATTCATTTGGAAACAACTTAAACTTTTACATAGCCTACAAATAATTTAATATCTTCTTGACTGAGCTGCATTCCAGTACAGTTTGATATTCCTGACAGTACACACATTTGAGGAACCCTATTCCTTCTCCCATTGTGCAGTTCTTTTGAGGGAGTGATGGCAGAGGCAACAGCAGGTATCTTAACTAACATACAACCTACCTCAGCTTAGACTAGATTGGAAGAAACATTAATGGTTTTTGATTTTTTCATCCATGAAACTTTGAAGCATCTAAGCTTGTAGAACACCAAATGAGATCCAACTTGTAGTGTTATTACTGAAAATGGACTGACAAGTATTTACAGTGTGATCTTACATAATATTGAAGTTGTATTTTTCCTTTATCAGCACTGTTTGTAGATTCTTAATCCAAAATACTGAGGTATATTAGTAATACAGCTTCTAATAGTAAAAGAAATAATCAGTTTAGGCACAGATAAACTTTTTCTCACATTTTTGTATCTAAACTCTCATTGACAGCTGTAATTTTCTGTCTTCATGCATAATATGCTTCCTCCAGAAAACTCACTCTGTATTCTGTGACTTCTCTTCTGCTTTACATGCACCTTATTGGCTTTCCACAATAGCAAATACAGGCTTTTTGGTTGACAATGACTCACTGAACTGTTTTAATGATGAAGAATTAGTCATCTATCTTGGTCTGGAGAGAATGAGAGCCACTGACAAGGTTTCATGCCTGAGCATACGGAATGGCGTGGAAACTTACCCCTTCAAGTATTTTTTATTTGTCTGATGAAATAGTTAAATTCTTTTTCTGCCTTAAATGTTTCTGGTTTTACCATACTTGGATCAATATTATCTCTCTGGAATTTCTTTGTTAACCGTAGCCATATCTTTCATATCTAAATCTTACTCAATTTACAATTTCCCTTGACTTTTATGTTTACTTCCCTTCTGCCCACTAGTAATTTTATTTCATTAATGAGTATAATCTGACTGGAATTGTCAAAATAGGAAACTCATATTCCAGCCTTAAGAAGTGGAACGATTCCCTTCCTCTCCCTCTCCTCCTTCCTCTCCCTCTCCTCCTTCCTCTCTCCACATTTTTATTACTACTTCTACTGTTTTCTTATGATTAGTTCATGACAATTTAATTTATATGAAGCCATGTAGCAAATGAGACACCTTGTTCCCAGATGCCTTAAAGGTATGATATAGGCACCATTCCTTGCATCCTGCCAAAGAGCATCCTACCATCTTGTTTCCTAACTGGGACTAAAAGCCATCTATAATCAGTCAGCATTAGAAATATGTAACATTGAGTTGAAGATAATACACAAAAGTAGGCATATCTGTTTTAGCTGCTGAATATCATACAGTGCAATCAGCATTCTTCAAACATGCATTTTTCGTAAGTCCAATCAAACAGACTTACTGAAGGATGATTTTCTGCCAAGCTTCCAGTGACACTTGTAGTGAAACAAGTATTAACTTGAAAGATAATAATGAGAAGCATGTAATTTGCAGTCAATTGCAGCATCTGAATTTGAAAGAAATACACTCTGAATAAGTAGTGTGCTAATAACCAGATGTGATCTGCTGACTTACCCTAATTTTTGCTATTGTTGTGCAGATAACATTGAAGTGGCTTATCTAAAGACCCTGACCAAGGATGATATTATACAGTTCTACAAGGTAAGTTAGTCATGTGGTTAAAATGTTACTTTGAAAAAGATGTAGATACAACTGAATCCTATTTGTACAAGCTAAGAAAGCATATACTGACACATTCTAGGTAGCTCATAGAATCGATGCATTATTAATTATTAATAACTTTATATCCTGAATATAAGTTAGTTTAATGGAACTGTAAAAATCGTGGAGGAGGATTGGGTTTTGTTGTGGTCTTTCTTTTTTTCTTGCCAACTCTTATTCTTCCCTTTTTCATTTACCCTTTCTTTGTGACTATAAAAACTGCTGCTCTATGACCAAGCTTGGCCAAAACTGCACATTTGTTCTTTTCTCTTCAGCCAGTAAATGATTCACCTTATTTCATGTGCATGAATTGTGAATGAAGTGGGTATTTTTAAAGCTTTGTTCACTGTAAATCAGTGGGTTTTTTCCTTCCTCTAATAGTTAGGTGGAGCAAAGGAGCAGCATAATGATGCAGTAACTGCACATTGCAACTCAGCATGAAGTTGCTAGATGGGTATCTAATATAAGCAGTTGAAATCCTAGGGGGGCATCTGTCCCTGTCATGTCCATGTGGTCCTCCCCCATTGTTAAAGAAATTGGGCATCATTCTTTCTGTTCTGTGATCTATCACAGGCAATGGTATTTCATGATATTGCAAAGTGTTCAGAGTGTTTTATTACTTACAGACCAGCTAGTAGCTCAGGGGAGACTTTGGAAAGTAAGTTCGACTTAATGTCTCTGGAATTTATTATTGGATGGAGAAATTTCTGCCTGTGGTGCAGTACTTGGGTTTGTGTCTGTGTTCTTCCCTCCCTCCCTTAGGTGGAAGGGGCTGATGTCTTTCAAAATGTTTTTTTCTTTTGCACTCTGCATTACCCTTTTCTGTCCAAGGTAATGTTTGCATTGCTGTCTGAGGTTTAGTGTCTGATAGTGTCTTTGTGTCTGTGAGATTTAGTCTTTATTACATGGCTCAGTGAATACCAACATCCTTGGGTGGGTTGGTTGGTTTTATTTGGTTTAATAGTATGGGTGAAGATATGCAGCAAATACAGTTAGTAGATGGAATTTCTATACCTGTTGTTTAATAAACTTGAATGAGTATGTACATTCTGGTTTTGTCAGAATCTGTGCTGTTTTGCTTAATACATGATAATCCAGCATTCCAGAGCAGAAATAAGTGGCAAGATTGGTGAGCTAGTCCAGCTAAATTAATACTTGTGTTCAGGGTGATGTGCTTCCAGAAGGATTGAGAATTCTGCAGAGATTTTAGGTTGTATTCCTGGTAGTGTGATAGTTAATGACTGAATTTCTGTTAGTTTTTCCGAGTTCCAAGCAATGCATGAATGTCTTAACTTGATTGTAAAATAATTCAGAGTACTGTGTGGATGACTTTTAATAATATTTGAAGGGGCATCCCAAAATTCATCCCTCATTTTAAAGCTTGAATTAAATTTAAATGCTCTCATTCTTTTTATTGTTTTATAATGTCTCAGGGATACTTCCCACACCTGAAGGGTTTGATGTTTTTTACTGTAGGTGCTGTTGGCAATAGATGCTCCCAGAAGACACAAGGTGTCAGTACATGTCCTTGCAAGGGAAATGGATTCCTGTAAGTATTGTGCTGAATAAAGTGATTAATCAATTCCTGTTTGGGCAAATCGTAGTTAGAGATAGCTGTGTTCTATGATACAAATGCACTATAAGATAAATCAGTTTTGGAAATTATTTCAGAGGCACAAGTATTTCTTTTTATACGTTTTCTTGACATTGGGTGCTTCAAATTTTCTGGTTAATGTTGGTGACCAAGTTCTTCAGCCTTTCTTTAACTTCTATACTTGTAGTGTCAAGTATATTGATATTAAACCAATATATCCTAAACCAGCATTTCTGTTTGCAACAGGCTATTTCAAAACAAACACAAAACTCTGTAATATTCCTACAGGAAAAAACCCAACCCTAAATCAGTATTTACAGTTATCAACCCAATGTGGATGTTTTTCCCTGACAAGCAATGAATGTCCACAATATTCTTCAAGCACCCGCAAAGGAGAAAACAAACCTGCAAATAAACAAAAGCCAAAACCTCTGGGAATGTCAAGCGCTATTTAAACTTCAGAAGGTCAATGTTTATTGAAGTGTTATTTTGAAATAATATAGATGAGCTGTACATTGTAAATTGTATTGTTCCATTTTAGAATTTAAGAAGGAAAAGGTTAAGAGTGTTTCTGGTTAACATGAATAAACGGAGAGAAAAAACTTGTTTCGTGTAGAGTTTTCACCAGTTTATACTGGACTTAAATTCCTACATGCATCTGGTTGCAAAATCAAAAATATTAAAGGCTTGTCTATAGTACAGAGAGAAGCAGAGAGCTCCATGAAAGTCATGAAACTCCTTCCAGCCTCAGAAGGATTGATTTTTACGGTATTGTAGAAATAATAACTTTGAAGCTGAGTAAGGAAGACTTTCTTCGAAGTGTCTTTCCAGTTTTCATGACTAGTAATTGCTAAATAGAAATAGCTCTGAAACTTTTCCTATCTGGAGAAAACTTCTTGAAGTGTAGTAACTATATTGCCAGAATGGTTTATTATTTGCTTGGAATGGTGTCTTCCCAAGACAGTGGTGAGCATGGGGGATAACCTAACAAGCAATTACTCTTACAGAGATCGTAGCAAGTTATTTTCTCCACATAGGCCCCCAGTCCTAAACCACTTAATTTGGCATTTGGCCTCTTCTCTGCCATTAAAGAAACTGAGACTGGAAATGCAGGAAGAAGTTTTGGAGGAATTGGAGTGAGACATGCATGGAGACAGGCAGGGAGGACTTGGGGTTGCTATCCACAATTTTGGTACCTGGAGTAACCTCTAAGCCTCCATAGGCATGTCCTTAGCAAAAGGTGTTACTACATTGCTCTTGTGTGTACCACTGGCATTTGCTACTGTTCTTATAATTTGTACTGAGAAACAGTGTAAGGATTCATTTATCAGCAGAGTAGTAATTTTTATTTCTATGTTCTCTTTCTGTGTAAGTAAAATGAAAAGCCACTGCCTCAACTCATGTTCTCAAGTCGAATCATGGGTTAATGTTGGTCTTTCTAAAGACAGCCAAGGAGTATAAATGCAAAATGTTTAGAAAATCTTATTTAGCTATACTTTGAAATTAAAAACCCTGTGCTTTCTACAGATACGTGTCTTATAAGAGAAAACAGTTTATTATGTAAAAGATACTGATTAAATTATAGTCCTGAATTAATTCTGATGATGTTAAATAGGCCCTGTTGTTGGAGAATTTCCATGCCAAAATGATGTGAACCTGGCACCTGCACCACCACTACCACAGGTAAAAAGAAACCACACACACAAAATTTCCAGGCTGTATTCTTAACCTGGAGGTTTACTACCATTAAATACAAGTCTATAGGGAAAACAAACTTGAAATTCATACTGTTGTGGGGCTGATGTTTCAGCTCTTCCCTACATCACTGTTGTCCTCACTAACAACAGGGATTTTTCCTGACTTGTCAACAGTCTGTCCGGTTACCTTTGTTCCTTCTAGTCCACTGAAGTGAAAGCTAATAGCATTACTAAACTGTACTGAGTATCTGCACTATGGAGTAAATAGAGACAATTATTGTCTGAAAATACTCAATGTATATGACCAGATGTATCAACTCTCAAGAGAAAGATGCAGATGCATCAGCAAATTTATCGTCTTTGTTTAAAATCACCCGAACAATCCCCTAACTTAAAAGCGACAATAAACCCAACTATTTGCTCATTATCTTAAAGACTGAAATATTAATGCACATTCCTGTCAATGTGTGACCTGTGGAAGAAACAATTTGATCAATTTATTCATACAAGTCTTACAGCACTGAGCCCTTACTGGACCTTCAGTGAATTTTCTAGAAGGATGGTAGTGTTTGTCCGATAGATGATTAACTTTAGGCAGTGCAGTAGGTCTGTGTCCTTCATCAGCCCTTCCCAGTGACACAATTGCCATGGGTGGGAATTTCTGTATGAATTGTGTGTGGATATATCAGCCATTATGACAGAAATACTAAGAAGTCACTTTGTCACTGCATCTGAAAATAATTGTGCATTGAATAGCTATTGTGGTTTTGATCTTACCTGTGACATGTAAAGGGCAGGTGGGGGGTTCTGAAGCAGAGGTCATAAATGAAGAGAGAACCTCTGCCATTGTTAGTAATGCAGTTATGGCTGTTGTTTTAAATTACGTAGTGTAAACATGAAGCCATTTCTTTCACAAGAAATAACACTATATTTGGGGGGATCCTGTAGTAACAAAGTGTGAATCACTGATACTGTAGCAAAAATCAAGAAAGGTGTGTTTCTGTGTAGCTGTAGCAGCAGTTAAAATGCAAAGCAAGGGATTTCTCTCTGTTCTGACTGAAGGTATTGAGCAGACTTTCTCTTGCATACACTTCTTTGCAGCCAAGTGTGATTGAGAACATGACAGAGTTTAAGCGCCGTCTCCCGTTCTTCCCACTGGTGAAACCACATATCAATTTCATGGCTGCAAAACTGTGAAGAACCCCAATGGATGAAGAAATGCAGATGATGGCATGGTTTCGGGGGACTTCATGATGAACAGAATTATTAAAGATCATTAGGATAAATGGTTCTGTTCATTATGAAAGTCCTGAGCTGCTCCTCGGTTCATTCGACATTAGCTGTGTGTTAGGGATAGAGAGTATATAAAAATCAGTTGTGGTCATGTGTCATTTATATTACAGACAACCTGTTGAAAACCAAAATCAACTGAAACAATAATAACAATACAGAACTTGTAGATGCAGTATATTTTTAAAATAGCATATCCCTTCAAATTTTCATTCTGATGGAATAACCCTCCAGAGCAAACAAAACTGCTTGAAATGAGCTCATTACTCCTGAAAAACACCATTTAGTATCCCAGTAGTTATTACTGGGGGCTGGAGGGGGTCACAAAAGGAAGTCCATTTTTGGGATGGGGTCAACAATTTTTCTTAAAAATAGAGACTTTCACATTTTTTTGAAGTGATGAGTTGAATGATACTTTTTTAATTGATCCTTAATGCAACCAACATATTTTCTATTTAAGTTTTATGAAGACCAGTGGGGGGGGAATAAAAAAGAAATGTGACAACACAGTAGTAAGTGAGAGAATTGTCTTAATGAGAATAGCTGAAGATAAGGGCATGATTTTAATCTTTCTATACAAATTTGGGGGACATTTTATATTAAAACTAGTAAAATGCTGGAAACACTTTAATGGTGCATCTCATTTTTGTTATCAAAAATATTGTCCCAGTCTCTTGACATCTTCAACATCCTGTTCAGTTTTTCAGTGTTACTGTGAATTGTTACCATTTGGTATATCAAATACTTTATTCAGTGTCATCTTTTGTTTTCAGTTGCACATGTACTAATGGAGAACTCAGTCTGTTTTGCCTCATTTGTTATGTTAGGTCTCAGTCCAGCAAAGCACTCACTAATGCAAAGAACTTTACACACACACTCGTTCTTCACTCAGGAACAGGTGAATATCCAATACAGGCCCTGTAATGAATCAGATACATCATCATTCTGATACATGTGTGGGTCCTTCTTGTCCTTCAGGATTTGGGGCAGGGCAGTGCTGGGTTGGCAGTGCTGCTGCAGCACAGTGTGTGCTCCAGGTTACATCACAAAGGGCTTGTTCCTGCTTCCTGTGAGAAGGCTGAGCAAATCTGAGAAGGATCAAGAGTTATGCTGAAATACTCTGTGTGTGTGTGTGTGTATATATATATATATATATATTCCATAATGTAGTAAAATGATAAAAACAGTATATGGTGTCTAGTCTTCACCAGGTTTACTGACTTCTGCAGAGTGGTTTGGTGCTTGGGACAGCCCCAGATAGAAAAAGGTAAGGAGCTATCTTTGTAATACATGTATTACCTTTGTAATACATCAAAGAGATGATTCAGACAGGGTAGAGTATGCAAAGCTCTGAAGATGTAAAATCTGCTCATCAGGGCTGTTACTGAGGACTTGCCTCTTATCAAAAGGATTTGAAACTAATGTGCTCATGTTTGCCATACATCAGGGTCCTGGTGTAGTCCATAGGGCTGTGATTGATCAGTGCTCATTCTTAGACTGGCTCTGAAGCCAAATGAAATGAATGCTTGCCACAGTAAGGGCCTTTAGTTGTGTTTATCTGAGAGCCTCTTCTAACAGATTAAATATGGTGCATTTAAAAGTTGTTGTACAGGTTGACAGTACATGCTTCACATTGTTTTCATGAATTGGATGATAGTTTGTGATGTAACCTGTTGCCAAGGAAGGCCAATAGCATTTTCTTTAGCCTGAGGAGAAAAAGAGTTAAACAGTCTAAGCAAACTCAGTAAAGATGTGTCTGTTCAGAGAAGCTTTCATGGACCCTTCACATAAAATGGGTGTTTTACCCTCTTGAATTTTGCTTTTGTTTATAGTTTTCCTTCAGTAAAAGTATTTGTATTTTATATATATTAAAAGTTTTGACAACGTATTTTAAAAATATATATTTTGGGATTTAGTATTTAAACATACCACTCTTGAATAAAAGGAAATGGCTTCTATCGTGTAAAAATAGAGAGATATATTCATGGAAGTACTATCAACTCTAACAAATGATATGAGTAGATTGGAATAGCAGTCTGTTTAACACAAGCTCACAAGTTATGTTTTCCAGAGGAAAAAGTATAGGACTTCAAAGTTCTGTGACTGGATGTGGAAAGCCAAATAGTTTTCCAATAACTCTTAATTGCTTTTAAGTGTTCTCCAGCATTTTACAGTTACTGAGTTTGATATAGCAGTAAATTTTGATAAACTCAGGCATACTAATGGGTTCATTTTAATGGATCCAAAGCTGCAGTGTCTACAAGCAATAAAGAACTACCTAGAATACACTGTAATTCAATTTTAGTGCTTGTTAATTAGTTTATGTAAGAAACCATAAATTATTATTACATAACTGTAATTTTTGCAAGTGCTATTTTAAGCAGTTGATGTGGGATTGGGTGCATGTGACACAGCCAGTATGACAGAGTGCTAGAGTTATTCTGTTTACAATAAACAATCTGAATTTAATGTTTTGGAGTTCTTAATTTGTTTCATTTTAATTTTTGGGTTTTTTGCTTACTGATAATGTTAACATCTGTCAGTCTGTGCATGGTTTTTATCGACGTGTTAATTGTGATTTTCTGCTCTCCAGCTGGACTAGTTAGGCTCTAGCACTGCTGCAGCAGTGCTCCCAGTCACTTCCAGGGAAGCTTCAGGGGACTTCCCATGTGGCATCTCACACCTGTTCGGTAGATCCACCTCTGTTGCTCCTTGAGTGTATGAAAACTTAGTAATATAAAGGTAGAAATACTCGCACAAGACAGAATTTTAATTATCAAATAGGAAATTGTGAATTTAGGGCATGGCTGTGGGCAGACTGAGTCGTGCCTAGTGCAGCTTTACAGCATTGCTCTTGAGAAAATACTTTGCCTGGTCATTTCCTTTGTTCTATGCACACCAAAAGATTATGTTTTGAAAGGTTAGGAAGTAAGTGTGGTTGTTAGAGTAGTAAATAGTGTCAGTTCTGACAGCATAAAGAGACAAATCAGCAAGGCCTTCTGCTGTTCTGAGGGGGCTCCTCGAAGTAATACATGACAGTTAGCAACATTAAGAGACGGATTTTGTCCTTGGTGTTGGGAGGAGTGGTTGGTGCTCTCAGCAGAGGAATAAAATGCCAACAGAGCACCTGGAAAATTATTCATCCCCAACATCAGAGTGCTCTCCACTCCCAGGCATTAGGGGTTGGTGTAAATCTCATCTCACTGGCTTGACTGTCTTTTGCCAAAAATGAAGCTATCCAAATCTGCTTCAGCCATTACGATTAGCCATAAAAAATGCTTGAGCTTTTCCAGAATATCATATATGTGCTTGGATGTGAGCAGCCCTTACTGATAATGTGTTACACAGTCTGACCAGGCGTATGGAGAAAGCATTGCACACCTTTGTAACTTCATTTATTAGTATTATCTAGCTCTTGTTTTAAAACAAGGTCAGCAGAATTTCAGTTTACCTTTCCTCTTCCACTCCACTGCTGTAGGTCTGCTGTAAAGTGAAAATTCACTATCTTCTGCACCTTTGTATTTTCAGTATGTGACCATTGAACTGGTATGGCCATCCACAGTGACACTTGGGGCCTTCGCTTGAGCTGGTACCTAATGTGATACTCAAATCCAGCTCTGAAATGCTTTGTTTTCAAGTCAGTTTTTAATATTGTTGCTAATGCCATGCACCTCTGGGCTGTTTTAAAGGCAGAAGAGATCAGAAAGGCAGGCACCTTTCATACCTTCTAATTTCAAAAGAAGCCTATGTAGATTCTGCTGAAAGGCTTTTATTTGAAACATTTCTGTTTAGTGTTCAGAGAACATAATTACAGTATGTGCTGTGGGTGGACTATAATGGTAACAGTGGGTGAAATCTGAATTGCAGTTCAAAGGAACAAAGTGTGTCGGGCCAAAGGCCCAGCAGAATGTCATAATTAAATCAGCTTATTTGAACTGAAGCATTTAAACAGAGTTTAAGATTGAAAATATTAATGGCTTCTTAAATTAATGTTTCTAAGCCACTCAAAGTCTGTTAACTAAAGTGCAGCATTAAAGGGTGTAGACACCACACTGCTGGGCATTTGCCACTGTTAACTTTTAGGGTTCTCTCTGTAGTGGTGCAATGCAAAATCCCAGATTAAGTTCAGTGACTGTGCAGTGGGTGAGGGCAACAGATACACAGCTCCAAGCACAAGGAACTGACTAGGTGTGACCAGTAGGAAACTCTAGTGCCAGGCATCCAAGTTTAAATCCTGCATCTTCTCTTGAAGAGAAGGTTGTGTGGAGACCTCATAGCAACCTTCCAGTATCTGAAGGGGCTCCAGGGAAGCTGGAGAGGAGCTCTGTGTTAGGAACTGCAGTGATAGGACAGCGGATAATGGATTCACATTGAAGGAGGGGAAATTTAGGTTAGATATTAGCAAGTTTTTTTCCTGTGAGGGTGGTGAGACACTGGCACAGGTTGCCCAGGGAGGCTGTGGCTGCCCCAACCCTGGCAGTGTTCAAAGCCAGGTTGGATAAAACCTTGAGCAACCTGATCTGGTGGGAGGTGTCTGTGCCCAGGGCAGGGGGTTGGGACTGGGTGATCTCTAAGGTCCATTCCAACCTCTAAAATTCTATGATCTTTCTGAGGATTTGCCACCACTTTACTGTGTTGAATGTGCTTCCTTCTGCTTCACATTTTGATCACAGATTTTCATTGTCTGCTCAGCTTCCCTTTCAAGAAGGGGAGCAAGGAATTGTGGTACTTCCTCAGTGACTGCCAAACACAAGTAGAATTTCACTGGAGCAGCAGCTGGAAGTCAGGACTCCTTCCACCCCTCCCCTCCACCTGTACACAGAACTGTCTGATGTGTGAGGGCTCAGACACATACTCTGGTGGTGAATGCTTACAACAGCAGAGCAGGTTCAACAGAAGGGAATGAGTAGGTCCTCAGCCTGTATTAGTAACCTATTGGGAAGTGGGAAAAATAGCCAAGGGCAAATTCTAATAGAAGATGGAAATGAGGTTGCTGTTTTGGTAACTTGAACCAACCCCTGTATTGTGGCATAGAACAACACAGTTTTTACATGAA